GTATTTTTGTTAAAAGTCTCGATTAGAGGCGTTGAAGAAGATATGAAAAAAGTACATTTTTATGTTTTTCATCGTATAAAATTTTGTCCGATAATAAATGATTTTTTAAATAATTGCACCTTTAAAAATTCTACGCCAATGGCAAAAAAGGGGTTTGAGTATGAAATTTGGATTGGGTACTCATTTACTACAAAAAAATACCCTTGATAACACTCGATTTACTCTCATGGTTTTGACAAAGTTTGTATTTTAATAATTATTGTTTATGTTCTAAAATTACTAAAATGCAAATTTCGTCAAAACCATGAGAGTAATCGAGTCTTATCAAGAGTACCTTTTTTAAAGTAAATGAGTTGCGCAATCTAAATTTTATGCTCAAACTCCTTTTCTTCCATTGGCGTAGAATTTTTAAAGGTGCAATTATTTAAAAAATCAAGTTCTACGCCTATGTATTATTATCGGACAAAATTTTAATATTATTTTTTTTTGCCACATAAAACTCTATCATTATACCAAATTTCAGCAAAATCGCATATGCCGTTTTAAATTTATATGGGAAAAACGATTTAGAAATTGTAATTTCAAGGCCCTCTGGAGCCCAAACGAAGCAACTTTGTACTAAGGTAATTTTACTTAAATCGACTTATTTTGGTCTAAGGAATATGTGGTATGTTTTTGTAAAGACCTTTTACAGACACCCTGTATATAATCACCAACGATTTGGGTTGTATTAAACTACAGTTTGTTCAAGAGTTTTTATTTCGTTTAACTTTACCCAGCCACTCTCAACTGAAAACCGGCCATACAATAATCAAAATTAACCCCCTCGTTGTGTAACCTTAGCCTTCTACCACCTTGAGTCGAGGCGCTACTTTCAAAGTTGAGATTCGTCCCAAAACTCTTATTTTCTCATAATTAATTATTTTAGAGGATGTTTAAAAAATCTAATGGATGATAAAAAAATTGGTTAATTCTTTGGCGCTAGCAGTTATGTAAAATATAAATTTGGAGGGGACCAGCGAAAACTGGGTCTTTATTTTTTTTTTAACATATGTTTCTGAGGGTGGTCAAAAAAGGTATTGGATGATCAAACATGGTTAACAGGATGTCAAATGCATGCCGCATTCAAAACTAAAATTTTCGAATTTCGGAGCGCCAGACTTTACAACATTGATTCTACTGTCTCATGTTTTTTTTTAAATATGTATGTAGGGTGTACCGAAATTAGTTGGTCATGTTATAACAGCGTAATCTACATCCCAAAATACGAGTAAAAGTTCATATAAACATAGGTCCGAAAACGTTTCTTTTCCGAGATACAGGGCGATAAAAGTGAAGTCCTGATGACACGTTTTTGTAAACATTTTCTAAACTTTTAAAGATAACTAAGTGAAATTTGGTACAAATGCTAAACTTTTTATGCTCTATTTAATGGACTAAACGTCAGTTTTTGATCATCTACATAGGTGGATAAATTAGAGGAGGAACTTAGGGTTAAATTGTCCTAAATTTTTTTGTTAACTGTTTTTAACATTTTGGACTACAAAATTTGGAAAACTAATATTTTATTTATATTAAAGTTACTTTCGTTGTATCTAGCTAGGACGCACCATTTCCAAGAGAAAAGCATTTGAAAATTTTATGATAAGTTGATGTTATCTTATTCGAAAGTGTAAACAATAATTAGTAGGCCTGTGGAATTGGAAATTTTATTTTTTTAACCTTGGAAAACCGGTGACTAAAGAAATTTAAAAAAAATACAAAATGTGCCATTAGGACTTCACTTGTAACACCCTGTATCTCGAAAACAAAACGTTTTCGCATCTATGTTTATATGAACTTTTACTTCTATTTTAGGATGTAGATTACGCTGTTAAAATATGACCGTCTAATTTCGGGATACCCTGTATATTTCCTTATGTTTTAATTTTGCAATTTTCTTTACTGAATTTAAATATTTACATCGGGTAGCAATTCGTTGATAATATGTCTCAGAGATTGGAATATGATTCATAACGGATAATACATATTCTACAGAACTATAGATTCAGATACAAGTTTAAAAAAAAACTATTTTACTTATTATTAAAAAAATGTTATTTGTTGAATTATTATAAAAAAATATCATGCCGTTTGATAATAAATTACCTATATTTTATTTTTAACTATATCTTAAGTTTTTTTTTTTTTATTAGATATTCAAATATGGATAATACCTTTCATATATTTTAAAAATACTCTCAATACAATTATTTATTCATGATGCAGTAGAAACAGAAGAAAAATAGTAGTTTGTGCAACAAGAGTGGGTGTGATGGCCATATCGCACGAATTTAAAGTTTAAGCACAATGCCGTATATATGTATATATATCATTCTATCATTGTTGCGTCCATCAACATCCTAATCACATATATTATTGCGTCCTTTGAATTATTCGTCCTTATTTCGGATGCAATAATGTAAACCCATGTATTAGCGGGTTCCCACCAATTTTTAAAGCAAAATTTTAGCGCGAACAGCTGACAGAACTTTATAGATTTCCATACGTTCATAAAACTAGGCTGTATCTAATATGGTCCTTATGATTTTACAGGTTTTTTAATCTGTTGGTGGACGCAATAATATTAGTGTTATGGATAAAAATGTATATTATTAGTTCAACGATTCTCCGGTAGAGGTGCGAAGATAGTATACACACTCAAGTATACATTTTACAAACGAAATATATTATTGCGTCCGAAACGTGGCAACATTGTAATCTATTTTTAGACTTGGATTATGTTCGCGTTTCCAGCTGTATTAAAAAATTCATATTTTCAGAGCTGCATAAGTTGTTTAGTGCATCTTACCGGAGGCATCATAATTAAATGAGAGGGGGGAGTAAACGTTTGTATGGGAGTACCGAGGTGGGAAATTGAAAATTGAAATTGCATTAAAAATAAATAATATTTCAGGGGTTTTTGTATTTTCACATTTAAAGGATGGGTAATGGGGGGGGGGGGGGGATGAAAGTTTATGGGAGTGTCAGGTTTTTAAAGATAGAAACTTGAAAATTGGAATTATAGTGACTCTTCATAAATAAATAATTATATATGTCAGGGTTTTTGGATTTTCACATATTAAGGGGCGAAACGGGGGTGAGAATGTGTATGGGAGTATCGGTTTTTTAGAAGTAAAAACATGAAAATTGGAATTATAGCTAATCATTATAAATAAATAATGACGTATTTCAGTATTTCTTATTTTTACAATTTAAGAGAAAGACATGAGGGGTAAAAGTTTGTATGGGAGTATCGATTTTTAAAAGATAGGATCTTAAAAATTGGAATTGCATCTGCTCATCATAAATAAATATTGCAGATGTATTTCAGGGTTTCTGATTTTCACATTTTAAGGGTGGAAAACGCGGGGGGGGGGGTGGAAGTTTTTAATGGAGTAACACATTGGAATTAAAGCTACTCATCATAAAAAATAATGAAATGTTTCAGGGTTTTCTGTTTTTCACATTTTAAGGGAAGGGGTGAATGGGAAATGAAATAAATAAATAAAAATAAATAAAAATATATAAAAATAAATAAAAGTAAATAAAAATAAATAAAAATAAATTAAAATAATTAAAATAAATAAAAATAAAAAAAATAAATAAAAATAAATAAAAATAAATAAAAATAAATAAAAATAAATAAAAATAAATAAAAATAAATAAAAATAAATAAAAATAAATAAAAATAAATAAAAATAAATAAAAATAAATAAAAATAAATAAAAATAAATAAAAATAAATAAAAATAAATAAAAATAAATAAAAATCAATAAAAATCAATAAAAATCAATAAAAATCAATAAAAATCAATAAAAATCAATAAAAATCAATAAAAATCAATAAAAAATCAATAAAAATCAATAAAAATCAATAAAAATCAATAAAAATCAATAAAAATCAATAAAAATCAATAAAAATCAATAAAAATCAATAAAAATCAATAAAAATCAATAAAAATCAATAAAAATCAATAAAAATCAATAAAAATCGATAAAAATCGATAAAAGTCAATAAAAGTCAATAAAAATCAATAAAAATCAATAAAAATCAATAAAAATCAATAAAAATCAATAAAAATCAATAAAAATCAATAAAAATCACTAAAAATCAATAAAAAATCAATAAAAATCAATAAAAATCAATAAAAATCAATAAAAATCAATAAAAATCAATAAAAATCAATAAAAATCAATAAAAATCAATAAAAATCAATAAAAATCAATAAAAATCAATAAAAATCAATAAAAATCAATAAAAATCAATAAAAATCAATAAAAATCAATAAAAATCAATAAAAATCAATAAAAATCAATAAAAATCAATAAAAATCAATAAAAATCAATAAAAATCAATAAAAATCAATAAAAATCAGTAAAAATCAATAAAAATCAATAAAATAAAACAACAATTTTGACATTTCTTACAAACGTACCAAAGCCTACTATAAAGTTATTGTTAATTATTGATTTTGCAGGCTTTTTCAGAAAATTTAATTGTTCAGTCATTTCTTCATCTATTTCAAAAAACTTTATATCGCCAGATACCTAAAAGGACTGGCTTTCGGAGCATTAAAAAATATATTTTATTAAAAAAATTGACAAATACGTCTTTAAAAAACCGCCATTTTGTTTTTTAGAAAACCGAAAGTGCTAAATAATTTTGGATTGACCGAAATAAAAATTGGAATAATTTGATACATTTCGTGAAAACCGCATGTTTTTAAGTAGTTTCGTTTAAAAGTTATAAGTTTGCTAGATGTTGGAAAATATAATGGGTCACCCGGTATAAGCAATAAATATTGAGCAGCTCTTATAGATTCGTTGCAAAAAAATTGATTAGCGGAATTTATAAAAATATCACACCTTCCTCTCCATTCGCTCATCTCTAGCGACACATCTTCATCCTCCAGCGACCTGTTCATTCTTCGTATCGCAAAATCACACGCTGCTTCTGTCTCTCAGTTCTATTGTAACCGCGCGACAGTCAGCACGCCAGTAGCGGCTCGGCGCGTCATGTGTAGGGTACACAATACCCGCGTATATTCGCTGAATTTTCGTTTGCCACTGCCTTTTCGTTTTAAGGGCTATTCGGCGATACTGTGGTGGTGTTTGTTGTGGGATTCGATTTTCGGATGTGAGGGGCTTGTGCACCGTCGATCTGGGGAGCACGGTTGGGGACAGTTCGATTATCATACGTACCCTCATCCTGGGAAAACACCAATTCATTCCAGCGAAATTATGGCGGAAGTCGTCAATAGATTGGGACTGAATTTGCTAGCAGTAAGAAAATTTATAATTTGTACATTTATTTTATAAGTTTTGTTTGTAAACAGGTAAAAAACCCCGAACAGGAAACAATATGTGATTAAATACAATTTTTTTAGTAATATAGAAGCTATAATGAAAATAAAAAAATAATTTTTTTTCTAATAAAAAAGGATTGATGTATTACAATGTTAAGAAAAATAAACCATTATGTCTGTGTCTGTATCTACTATAACTCATAAAGAGCTAATGTACAAAAACCAAATTGTATCGGTAGATTTAAATTAGTAATAGAGGCAGAAATATATTGTCTCAAATAAAATATATTATTAAAAAACAGTTAAAAAATGGTTTTTAATAAAAAAACAGGCAGAATAATAAAATACGAATAAAGATAATTCAAAATAAGTTAGATAACTAATCTAATTAAAACATTTTATTAATAAATTTTTTATTTGGATGCCTTTCTGAGGTTGTAATGTTTTTCTTGTGAAAGGTAAAATTAATTATCAATATAGATAATTTTTTTTATACATATTCCACTTATTTGGTATTTTTTTGTAACAAATAACACTGAGTGAAATGTTTTTCATTATTAAGATAAAAGATGTTATTCATTGATTTTTTTGCAATAGTACATATTTCAATTTTAAATAAATTTATTTTTGAAATAACTTATATTATTTCAACACAGTAGGTTTTTCAATCTGTACAACAATAATTTCGCTCATTCAGAAATTATTTTTGATCTAAAATATTTTTTTTTACTAAATTCATATTTAGTATATAAATATCGAGAAAAAAATTTAAATTTCTCAAATTTGGTTGAATTTATGCTATATTAAAACAAATATACCTATATTTCTATAAAGTTGTATCTAATAACTTGAAAAACGAGTGTATGTGAGGCGCCATTTATACATCATCTTAAAATTGATAAGAAAATGTTGATTTTTCACATCAAAAACATAACCCTAACCAACTTTAAGTCCAAAATATGGTATTTTTTTTTTTAATAGTAGACGAATATTTGTCATACGAGTAGGCGAAACATTATAGTAGCTTGCAGAGCTGGGGAGGATTCGAATCACTTAGTATTCAAATTCTGGGAATCGAATCCTTTTTAAGAGCAATCCAATCCCTTCTGACGTCACACCGCACGAATATCACGACCTCCCCTTAAAGTATTTGGAACCTTGTTCGCTACATAAATTTGGCAATGTTGTGTGTCGTACGCAGAAGGGTCCGATTACAATTCAGGTAGGTATAATTCGTTGGCTATCGCCGCCTACTGGGGGTTAGTGGCTTGTTAATATACGAATGTAGGAATACTATTTTTAAACCAAACAACTCAAATATTTTTTATTTATTGATAGTTATAGATGATATACAGGGTGTCCCGAAATTAGACGGTCATATTTTACCAGCGTAATCTGCATCCTAAAATAGTAGTAAAAGTTCATATAAACATAGGTCCGAAAACGTATCTTTTCCGAGATACAGGGTGTAAAGGTGAAGTCCTGATACCACACTTTTGTAAATATTTTCTAAACGGTTAAAGATAATTAGGTAAAATTTGTTACAAATACTTACCTTTTTACGCTTCATTTATTGGACTAAATCCCAGTTATTGATCATCTTCTTAGGTGGGTAAATTAGGGGGAGCTTAGGGTAAAATTGCCGTGTGTATCTGTATGTCTATATCCACCATAACTCATGAACCGATACACAGGAAAACACTAAATTTTAAACTTAAGTTTTATTTCGGCCTGACGTGAAATAATTAGATTTTGGACAAAGTCGGAACATCTGGGGAGGTACTTTATGGGAGGCCGTTTCTATATTTTATTGAATATATCTGTTATTTATGTTTGGAGAAGAAAATTATTCGAATAAAAGTTACTTCTAATATTATTATCTATAATTTTTGCTTCATGTCAAAATTTCCTGAAATGGTCCGAATTCGAGAAATTTGACAAAATGTGCAAAATTCTAAACTAAACGTTGTTTGCGATATCGATCTCTATAATTTTTAAGAAATGAATGTAACGTATTTAAAGTGTGTAGGTAGTTTTATTAATATTAATAAAACTCAGTAAAATTAGTCTTAGCGCTTTCAGCCGGTTATGCCATCATCAGAGACTCTACAAAGATAAAAAAACGGAGCTATAACAATAGTCAAATCGAGATAATCCTAAACATTGAATAAAAAATAAAAAAACATTAAAACTTACTTGTCAGTAAATATAGAAGGTGCATGAAAATTAATTATTTAAAATTTTTATTTATTAGATTTAAAGGGCTGCCACAATACGGTCCCTGGTTCTCAACCATAACTTGAGGCTTGAAACGAAGCAAAACCAATCCTAACAGGTGGTTGAAAATTGAGAAGAAACGTGGGGGGCTCATCCCAACACGTGTAAATAAACTGTCTCAACCTTTCCAAGGAAGAGAGATGGAAAAAACTGAACTTCAGCTTGAAGCCAGCTGCCCTTTCAAAATAGCTACCGTGAGGCGGAGGCAAGTTGGGGCACAATTTGTTTATTTACACGTGTTGGGATGAGCCCCCACGTTTCTTCTCAATTTTCAACCACCTGTTAGGATTGGTTTTGCTTCGTTTCAAGCCTCAAGTTATGGTTGAGAACCAGGGACCGTATTGTGGCAGCCCTTTAAATCTAATAAATAAAAATTTTAAATAATTAATTTTCATGCACCTTCTATATTTACTGACAAGTAAGTTTTAATGTTTTTTTTATTTTTTATTCAATGTTTAGGATTATCTCGATTTGACTATTGTTATAGCTCCGTTTTTTTTATCTTTGTAGAGTCTCTGATGATGGCCTAACCGGCTGAAAGCGCTAAGACTAATTTTACTGAGTTTTATTAATATTAATAAAACTACCTACACACTTTAAATACGTTACATTCATTTCTTATTACCCAGTGTGTACACACCACTCAACCTGTTCTATAATTTTTGTTTATACATGATTTTTCTAAAATGGACCGTAATGGAAAAATTGTAGGAAAATTGCTAAATTTAAATTTTTCAGTATTTTCGTTTTCAATGAATAACTATAGAAATATTTCTAGGTAGATAGATGTATGTGGAAAATGTATATATTTAGTTTATCCTCTAAACATTTATAGAGGCACTGCAATAAGTTGTACAAAATAACCAGAAAAAGCCTATAATAACTAGATAGGAAAGTCATGTGTTGGACACATCACATTTTTTGACTATAAAATTTGGAAAACCAATATTTTCTGTATAATAAAGCTACATTTGTTGCATCTCGCTAGGACGCGCCATTTTCAAGAGAAAAGCATGTTACCTTATTCGAAAGTGTAAACAATAATTAGTAGGTCTGTAGAATTAGAAATTTTATTTTTTTTTAACTTTGAAAAACCGGTAACTAAAGAAATTTTAGAAAATATTTCATCTGGACTTCACTTGTAACACCCTGTATCTCGAAAACGAAACGTTTTCGGACCTATGTTTATATAAACTTTTACTCCTATTTTTAACCAACTTCATAAAAGTCGCAATATTTTTTTCTTTTTTTTTTTATGTATGTTCAGCGATAATTCTTTAACACGGTGTCCGATTTCAATGATTCTTTTTTGTTAGAAAGGGGGTACTTCAGGGGTGGTTCCATATAAATTTGGTCAAAATCTAATAATTGGGCCCATGAGAAAATTCTCAAACTCTTAATTTTTTATGTATGTTTAGCGATAATGCTTTACCACCTTGTCCGATTTATATGATTCTTTTTTTGGTAGTAAGGGGGTACCTAAGGGGTGATCCTATATAAATTTGGTTAAGATGTGGTGAGGGCATCTGCACGTTTTTGAATTCGGTTTTTTTAAATTTTTAATTTCTAATGCTTGTAGGATGTAGATTACGCTGTTAAAATGTGGCCGTCTAATTTCGGGACCCCCTGTGTATTGGAAATTCGAAATAATAGTTATGACGTAGCGGTGTTTTTCTAATTGTAATCGGACACTAGGTATATGGATACGGAAAGTGATGAATTGGAGATAGGTAAATTGTATTTATCAAAATTTTGTCTTGGCAGCAGGTGGTTTTTGTGACGCGACAATTATGATGCTTTGCATCTCATGAATTAAAGTTAATTCTCTTTCAATCTTAAGGTGTTCATACCCCTTATAATTTTCGGACAAGAATATCTCAAAATATTTAAATTTTGGCAAAATAAATTAGGCAATATCTATAATATGCATATATTTTAATGTTTTAATTCCTTCCAGTTTCCCAAAAAAACTAAAAGGGCTTTTATTTTGAAATATCATAATGAAAATAAATGCATTCCTCGACAGCACTATTCTTAATTTAATCCCCAAATTTAAGCCCCTAATGTATTGTTAATGATTTCTTAAAATTCGCCAAAATTAGTGGCTAAAACGCTTCGTTAAGTGCTATCTTCTGGTGTAAACTGGTGTAAATTATTGCAAGAAACGAATAATGACAGAGTGTACGATACGATAGTTACAAGCCCGTTACACTGTTTTCCACTCAGTTTATTAAAAAAAAAAATAATAATAAATTAGGGTGTTAATTTTTTTTCTCTGAAGCTATTGGTTTTGGGAAAAAAATTCAAGAGTAAAAAAAAATTAAATAAATCAAGGATTTCATAAAAGTTCATCTCGAAAAAAAGGTTTGATATGAAATAAAGTAAGTGTTGCTAATTTCACCCCCCTATAATGTAACAGAAATATTGAAAAAATACCCGTGGTTAGTCCTTTGCGATTACAGAATTTCAAGTTTCTAGCTTTACTGAAATTTTAGAAAAAAAATAAAAACTCAATTTTAGTCACCACTTTTTAAGGGTGATATCTCGAAAAGGGGTGGGCTGAGGAAATTTTGTTATAGGAAAGACCCATCTTAATTTCATACGAGCAATCAGTTCCTGAATTTTGTCGCATGTATTTAGAAACACCCTGTATATTACACATTTTTTTAAGCGTGCAAAATTCTTGACAATATCTTTTCC